GACAAGCATTTTATCATTATCAATTTTACAAATATATTCATATTTATAATGGAAGCAGGATAACTGATTAAAAAATACACATTTTGAAAGCATTATTGTTAATGAAAAACTTTATCACTCATGGAAGCTGAGACATTTCATTTATATGTGGCTTTATTAGTTACCATCAGGAAAACTGCTGAAGAAGCCTAATGTCTCAGATTACCTACAGGATACAAAGTAAGGAAGAAGGCAAGAAAAACTATTAATGAAAACAAATCCTACTAAATCTAATAACAGAATTCAAAGAGAAAACACAATCTGATGTAAAATGTTACCTAGCGTGGTGCCATGTTGCAATTGGCTGGGTTGGCACAATGCATGAGAGTACTTTATAGGCAGGATAATAGCAGTACACTTTCCACAGTAGTGACCCATCATGTTAAGTTAAGCAGTCTTGATGTATTTAAGGCAAATTTTCACACTGCTTTCTCAAATCTCCAGTATACCAATCCCTATTTTGACTATACCTCATGGCCAACGCTTTCAGACAGCACTATGTAAAACATATACTATTGCTCCATTCCGATGGAAGCCTTAGGGAAGCTTCCTTAAACATGTAATATGATAGCACACACAAACAAAGCCGACACTAAACGATGTACGTTGTGCTTTTGTAAATTTACTTCCCAGCCACAACAAAAATAAATTGATTACAGCAACTGCACCACAGACGTACACACTAGTGTAATCTAAAATGATTTTAGATTATGTAGGACAGAAATCTCAAATTAACCACCACTTGTCCTTCACCTAGCGGTTGCCATGGAAAACCGTCACATTCTTACAAGGCCTCATGGTTTTCCAGGGTTTTGCTGCTCTTACTGTATTACCTTTTCGTGATCCATTTTAATTAGCTTATTATTCAATTCCCACTTTTCTATATAAAGACAAGGCACCGTTTTGATGACGCTTTGCCATTTTTCACAGCTCCCTGATTTTCACTAGCACTTCTGTCTCACTTTTCACATTTATTTTGTTAACTAGACAGTCTTTACTCACACATGTTGCAGTCTCAAGACTGCCCTGAAATCCATTTGGTGTTTTTTTTATTGGAGGCTCGCTATTTGGTTTCTACGTACCTAAGTCTCCCTTTTATTTTTCTCTTTTTTCATGACACTCATTATTCGGTTTCTCTGGACCCAAGCCTCCCTTTATTTTTTTGGACCCTTGGGCTATGCAGCCGTTTTCAGTTTCAGCATCGCCCAGTACACCAAGCCAGCCCTTGCTTTGCCCAGCAGTCTCAGCGGCCTCAAGCCTGCCTTACTAAGCCTTCTGGCTCTTTTCCCAGGAAGCTCGCAACTCGGTTTCTCCCATACACGAGACTCCCTGCTTTCCCACTGGAGGATTCTGTTTGGCAGCAATCCCGGCTTTCAGCGCCGCTTTGCAAAGCGGCCACAGCTCTCAGAGTCACCTGGTGCGGCGGCCTCAGCTCCAAGCCGGCTCTCAGCATTGCTCGTCGCCCTAGCCTTTGCTCCTAGCCTGCTCTCTGCATCTCCTGATGCAGCCATCTCTAATTCAAGCCAGCACTTCTTTCCATACTTATCCTTTTCACTGCATCGACCCTCACGTTTTCTGACTTGCATCCCTGACACTTCTGCGGGCTGCCCTTCCAAGCCCGTTTGGTTCCTTTGAGGGGTCTCGCTTTTCAGGTTCCTTCCATACACCCGAGACTCCCTTTTTCCCGCCAAGCTGTATTCAGCAACCTCTCTTTCTGCCAGGCATGTAGTTGGTCCGGCTTCTCCTGGACTTGCTGTTTTACCCATTACTGACTGGCCTGGGCTGATTAAGCCCCGCTGGCCGGTAATTCATTATCTCATTTCACTCTCCTTTCACTTTTCACTCTCCGGTCTCCTGCACTTGGGTTCTGACAAATCACCACCCACACGGCTATATCCAGCCACAGCATTACACCACTCCAGCTATTCTTTAAACTTACTCCACAACCTACAATTGAATTTGGTATTTAGCAGAGTTTAGCACAGAACTACAGCTGAACATACCCTAACAGAGAAAGACTGCTTCCTAATCATGAAATGAAACTTTGAGAAAAATATCTTTATAACAAGATGGCAGCGTTGGGGTCCTGGGTTCAGTTCCAGCTCTGGGGTGCTACAGTACAGTATGTACTATAAGTGGACTTTCAATTCAATCTTTACTGTCCCCAAGAAAAAAATGTTTTACAGCACAATCAAACACAAAACAATGACAAATAAACATCATCAAAAGGTAAGAGAATACAGTAGTGTTACAGGAGAAAAGAAACAAGAGACAAGGTAGTTACTTTGAATTGTTTAAGAGTGTAATTGCAGTGGGAATGAAAGATCTCCTGAGTCTGTTGGTTTTACACCTGGGGGCACAGAGGCGTCTCACAAATGTGAGAAGTGTGAATTCACAATGGAGGGGGTGAGACACACACTCCATGATGCTTTTGGCTTAAAAGGATACTTAAGTTTATTTGAATATTCCTGATTATTTTGCCACTTATATTCACTAATTTACCCAGCCTATTACAATTACCGGTACTTACTGTATGTTGCCAAACCAACAAGTGAAGCAGAACTGTATTTTAACACACTTGCAATTAATTATTTTATAGAAAAGTGTAAGAAAAGTTTTATCTAGCTGAGTTTCCTAAGAATGGAGTCTCTGTTGGCCTTTTTTATAGTGTCACAACAATTGTCCCATTTTAGGTTTTTGTCAATGACTAGTCCCAAGTACTTATAATCATCGACAATTTCAAAAGGCTGACCATCAATTATAGTGGGTTGAGGGGGTGTGGTTTTTTTCCTAAAAATCAATAACCAGTTCCTATGTTTTTTAAACATTTAACTTTAGGGAGAACTTGTTGCACCAGGTAATAAAAGCATTTAGAATGGGCTCATGATGGTATTCTGTGTCCTTTAATAAACTGACTAGGGCTGTGTCATCAGCAAACAAGATGTCTATCTGTTTGTATCTTCTCCTGGCATTTCCACCAGGTGCTCTGCCCCCCCCCCACCACAATCCAAAAACCTGCTGATAGGTCAACTGGCTTCTGGAAAATTGACCTAGATGTGATGGTGTGCATATCTGTGTTTGGGGTTTGGGTCTATGTGTGCCCTGCAATGGACTTGCACTGGCATGTTGTCCGGAGTATATTCTGATGTGTGCCCATTGCTTGCTAGGATAGGCTCCAGCTCCCTAGATGAAGCAATTAGAAAATGCATGGATCTTCATAATATAACTTTAATAGCCCTACCTTGGACTATAACCAGAGTTTCCAAAAAGCCAAGCTTCCAGCAGGTATTGACTCGGGCAGGTGAATACTTATGCGACCACCATATGTTATATTTGATTTTTCTTGACGTTTTTGCTGATATTTAACTTCAACCACTAAAATGTTCATTTTGAGCACTAAAATTTGTATTAAAAATAATTTCACATAATTGGTAAATTTAGGTTTAAAAAATGTAAATAACCTTTAAATGTTTTACTCATTCTACTATAAAGTGGCAATTGTATACATTGGTTGGACAAAATGACCAACAAAGTTAAACCACACAGGTGAACTACTGTAAGTATATTAAGAGGTTAGTTTAAGTGGATTCATAAATTAACTGCTACATAGTACTGTGGTACATAATATTACCACAAGGATTATGACAAAGCCATTTAATATTCTCTACCATGTATCCTATCCAGGCCAGAAGTCAGGGTCTAACAATGAGGGCACACAAAAGGCTCGCACAGGCCACCTGCTCAGTGGCTCCACTATGTCGACAGAGCTATGCAAGATGGAGACCCCCAAGGGGGCTGTTTAGCATGTTCTCTGCAACTATCCACCAATCACAAGTCTCACTAAGACAGACCTGGAACAAGGAATGGCCTAAGAGACCAGCTGCAGTGGGCCGGGAACAGACAATTGGTGCTGACAATCCCCAGCCACATATATCCAAACTCTTCTTTTGGAGGGGGGAGTACAGACAGGGAGAGACCTCTGTGGAAGATGCCCAAACAAGGTAACCGAGCAGAAAGCTAAGAGGTGAAGGGCCAGCACAGTGAGACCAGCTTAGCAGATCAGAAGTAGCGTCGGCCACAACCCACTCTGTCATCTTGTGAAGCTCAAGCAGAAAAACACTGTAATTGCAATCAGGGGATTAGAATTAATTTAGGGACAAAGGGCTGCATTTTTTTCTAATATTCAAGGGAAGATTTAAACTAAGTGCCGGCCAGTCAGGTCTCATATCTCTGGGAAGCACTCTGTGGATTAGTGAACAGTTTGAGAGAGCAGTGGAGAACAGATTGAGGGTCCTGTAGAGGGTCTTTTATGTAGTTTAGCAACTAAGATTACCTTCTTAGTCTGCCAAGTTAGTTGGTCCATCACTGGTTGCTTTGGACTGTAGAAGTCATTAACTCGGGGACTTTTTTTTTTGCAAATAATAGCTTGTGTTAGCTTATAATTTAGGGTTTTTAAAAAATATATTCACTTGTATTTTATGTTTGCCCCCTCGTCATTGCACAGCCATCTCAATTCCCCATTGAAATAAAAAAAAAAAAAACATTTTTAGTTAGAAACATTTTCATTCCTAACTACAGGGGCCATTTTAATTTGGTGTCTGGATTATTTTTATCTTTAATCTTTTTATAACAGAATTATAAGTACTTGCAAGTATTATAAGTACTGTGTATTGTATATTTCATTTTTTACGCATGTTGCTAAACAAAGATAATGTGCACTTAATAGAATAATGTCAGCCTAGATTTTCTAGGATAATGCAATTACTTTGTGGTTTTACTTAATGATCAAATCACTCCAGTTTCTATTAAGCTACAAATTGGAACCCAGTAGTAGTTCATTACCTATGTAGCCTTACAAATGGAGAGGATATAGAAAGAAGAAAAAGTTGTATGGTTGAAAAAACATGACTGATTAGAGATGAAGTATAAGCAGTAACTGAACTCAGAGGGCTGACACTTACCACCGCTGAGGAGTTTCATCACCAGCCACAACTCATCCTTCACCACAAATGAAGTGTAGTAAGAGACGATGTTTGGGTGATGACACTGACTCATTGCCTGGATTTCCTTCTGCAGATAGAGAGAGAGGATAAATCTTCAGTACAGACCAAAAGGTAGGCTAAGGTTGGTCGAGGGCCTGATTTACCCTCTGGATGGTAATCCTTTCCTCTTTTGTATACTTTTGGCTGTTGTAGAACTTTCTACAGTTTAATGGCCCCATTTTGGCCATTGTTCCCAAAATATGATTTATCAAGCAGCTCTTAAAAATGACTTACTGTACTGTAAGATCAATCAGAAAAGGAGCTGTTATTTATTACTTTAAAGAAGATTAGTTTTTGATACAATAATGCTCTGGGACAATGTTCTGTTTCTCAAGGAAGAAGGTTTAAGTTATACAGTATGACAAAACATCTACTTGTTAACTCTAAAATACATTCAGTGACAGTGAAAATTTCCCCATATCTATGCCTTTGCTGAATTCAGCACACAGACAAAAAAAAATCAATTTCCATAACAAATAATGAAAGGTTGACCACACAATCCCTTCCTATTCATCTGCTGTGACAACACGAGGGACTGCGAATTTCAAGAATACCCCCTCAATTTAGGGGAGGCACGTCTGGAGCAGGGTTAAGAGACAGGGAGACAGGAAAGAGGGGTAATTGGCTGTTAAATTGTGAAATGGACACTTTGGAAAAAGAAGGCTTAGCGTGAATATTTATGAAACTCAATTATGAATAAAGACCATAAGCACTGATAGCAGTGAAGGGGAAAAGAGCTGGAGAGCTAGAACTGTCTGCTCTTTGGATAATTAAGACGGGGAGGTGAATTCAGGACGCAAATACCACAGAGCAAACCATGTCCCCTTGTACTTGATCAAATCAATGTTAACAAAGAGAGCAGGAAAAATAACTTCAGTTAACTTAACTGGAAAATCCCTAAAGTGTTAGTTTATTTTACCAGCCTTTCAAATTCCTTTGTATTCTGTACAATATCCAGACGTATGTTAGAGCGATTTTTTGTTGTTCTTCTGCTTGGTAGTGTAGCAAGGCAAGCCCATTATTTCAGCACAGACTGGTCCTTTTAGATAACTGAGGACCCACAGATCTGAAATTCCTCATTAGGCTTCAGTGAAGAGAGCTTCACAAATGAGCTTTACAGTGCTGAGCAATGCCAAGTGCAGCTCCCACTACACTTCCAGTACACTGAGGGGAGGCTCTGATGGCTTTAGATTTAATTGGTAAAGGACAATATTGCCACAAACACATAATGTTTAGTTTTGAGCATGTTTGTTCTCAACATCAGAATGATGTATATCATCATGTACTTCACAAAACTATATAGAGTATTTCTAAATATAGTATATAGAATAAAAGACAATACACAAAGCACTTTTTAAGGATACCTAAGTCTTGCACACAGACCTGTAGTTCTGCAGGAATTATGCCTAATTGTTCCTTTTGCTCATTAGCATAGTGGCATTTCTAAGTCAATACAGAAGAATTAGGCCCCAACAAGATTAATCCTGTTTCAACAAGATTAAATGACACTGTATTTATCCATAGCTTGTAGGCTGTGTAAAACCTTTTCGATGTACTGTATAGCATAAGCAACAATGGTAATTTTAACCAAACAATATTAAAACATGGTAAGATGACACCTCTATGAGCATTGGTGTAACAATTGGACAATGATGTGGCTGAAAAAGCAAAATGACAACACAAAGAATATGATAAAAATGTGAAACAAGTGTATGCTTTTATGCACCTCCCAATTCTTCACAAATGGGATCTGAGCATTGTACAAAACTAATATGCAGTCTAGGTTTGCTTCCAGTCATTGGTTTTATCACGGGATGTTCAGTGCCAGACAAAATCCATTATTAAATGTATGGAACAGCAAAAATAATTTAAAAAACCAAGGATACATGAGCAAAGACTGCAAATTGTGCTATTTTGTAAATGTATCTATTCTTCTAGAACTTCTTCTTTACCACTGATGACTATTATTGAAGCACTGATTTATTAAATTTAGAAACATGAGAGTATAAAGACGATAGAAAATGCATTGAAGTAAAATATACAAAACAAAAACTATAAAGCATATTATTTGGACTTTTTTAACTGTACCCCACAGGATATTTGTACTTATTAACATTTGGCGTTATAAGCAAGAATTATTAAAATGTATACTGTAAAAGCTGCAATCAAGACATTTTAGTGCAGATGGTATTAAGCAATCCTGAATCGAAAACAATAAGTATCACCATATATGCTGGGCAACCTCCTGGAACTGATCTGAGTCTGCTCTTTAGATATCTGAAGGAAAAAAAGCAAGCCTATGACGAATAAGGGATTGACTAGTAATATTCAGAAACCTTAGGGCCACATAGTTCATGTGCTGTTTCATCTGCAAGCAATATAAAAACTATTTATGACAGACCAACTGCATTTCTGGTAACTCCTGATTTACAGGAACCTTTGGCATTTTGAGAAAACGTACAAAAACACAGGATCACGATAGACAGCGGAATCCAGGCAGCCTGAATATGTATCTGATATGAAAGGCAAACCTATTGAGTTCACATATTTCCTTCTAAGAATCCAAATCTTACTTAGAGATGATAAATAAGATACTGTGCCAGCAATTAGCTCATCATTATGCATCGCCAGGAATATGAGAGGCTTGAATAACCCTGACACAGATGATTGGTACCTTTTGAAAAAAAAAATGATTTTAAAAATTAAAGCAAAAGACATAGTTCTTGGATTGGAAAAAAAATTAAATGAGCCATTCCAGTCTGAATCTGAATATTTTAAATCTTTGAACGGAAGATCAAATTCAAGTATTTAAAATCCTCAGAGACATTGAGAAAGTCAACCCATTGGATCTGCAGTACAATACAAACCGAATAACAAGGGAAAACTATGTGGCTGTGCATTTAAAATTGAAAACAGTAAGCAAAAAGGTTTAC